GAGCATCTCCAGCAGGTCGAGGGAGGTGATCCTGCCCCTCTACTCAGCCCTGGTGAGGCCGCATCTGGAGTATTGTGTCCAGTTCTGGGCTCCACAGTACGAGAGGGATGTGGAGCTGCTGGAGAGAGTCCAGCACAGGGCTACAAGGATGATCAGGGGCCTGGAACATCCGCCCTGTGAGGAGAGGCTGAGGGAGCTGGGCCTGTTCAGCCTGGAGAAGAGAAGGCTGAGAGGGGATCTAATCAGTGTATATAAATACCTCAAGGGAGGCAGTGAGGAGGATGGTGCTGGTCTCTTTTCAGTGGTGGCCACTGATAGGACTAGAGGTAATGGCCACAAACTGAAGCACCAAAAGTTCCACAGGAACTTAAGGAATTTTTTTTTTAACAGTGAGGGTGACAGAACACTGGAACAGGCTGCCCAGAGAGGTTGTAGAGTCTCCTTCTCTGGAGATCTTCCAAACCCGCTTGGACACAGTCCTGTGCCACGTGCTCTAGGTGACCCTATGTGTGCAGGGGGGTTGGACTAGATGACCTCTAGAGGTCCCTTCCAACCTTAAGTATTCTATGATTCTATGCTAAGTTTCAACCATCAACACTAGAGATTTCCCGATAATTTGTGTATTAATATATTCTACTTTGTTACATGAAACAAAGAGCAGGGAAAGTCATTTCAAACACAAAATTGAAGGTCAAAATTGAAGAATGTTTGCCAGGCAGTACCATAAATAAATATGGCAATACATTGCTGTCAATATTAAATGAGTTTTGATTAAATAGTCAAACTAATAGAAAAAAATCTGCTAATGTATTTCAAGGCAGCTGTTCTACTACTGGGCAAACCAGAGTAAAGCTATTCTTCACTTAGCTTTAAAAGGAAAATGAACTGAACTGTTGGCATTTATCCTTTCAAACACATGAAAGGTAGAAGCAATATTAAATTGAGCTCTCCAATTTTTTTTGTTTCATGCTGCTAGATTGGATCTAGTAGTGATGCCAGAGCAATTTTAAGACTTCAGTCGCACATGGATGGGTTTGACTGTTCCCGATTTAAACCTTGCTCTAGAGAGAATATCCTGATCTCCAAAATTTTAATTCAGCTATTAGTTAATGACTTAAATTTCATGGATGCATCTATCACAAACATAAGAGCTTGTAGCTATGGCCATAATTTCAAAGGTTAAGGGTGCTAATTGCTCTGGCATCACATTAAGAACGCACCATCCAGCAACGTGCATCCTCACTACTGGGGTCTTTGCAGCTGTGACTGCTTCATTAAGT